GTTCAGCAGAAGAAGGAGCTTAGCCTGGCAGAGGTGGGAAGGACCTCCCCGCCCACTCCCCTGGTCCTGGGCGCTGTGCTCACATTGGCTGGAACACAGGCTCCGCCCACTGACAGCAACAGTCTCTGGGTGTGTCCCGAGGAGTGTGGCCAAGGAAGAAGGTCATGCCTCAGGATGGCCAGAATGGCTGTGCCACCCTGTGGCCTTCTCAATTTGGGGCAACATTGAGTCCAGCCGGCTCCCTGCTGGATCCCAGGGAATCTAGCAGCATCAACTGAGGTGCAAGCCCACCGAAGAGGGGCCTAAGACAAATGGAATGGGCTCACCCCATTGGGGGAGGCAGGTATGAAAAATTGCAGTGAGAACTGGCTGGGTTGGGACCCACCGTGCCAGCTTCGAGGTCTATAGGATAGAAAGATAGACCACCCCGCCCCATTGCCAGCTCAGCTTGCAGCTCTGTCACTACACCAAGATGGTGGTGGGGGGACACTGGCATCACCCAGTCAAGTCTCAATAGTATATCTCTGTGGTGGAAGAGATGGTGGGATCCAGTGCCCCCTGCTCAGGTCCCTTCCAGGGCCAATGCCTTCCTGGCAGGAAGGCCTTTGGATCCAGTTGGGCAGTCTCGGGAGGGCAGTGAAAGGATCTTTTCAGCTCCCTGGCACTGCCATGCCCAGCGAGTGAAAGTTGTTCTCTTCCAGCAAGAGCTGTCCCAGGCGGTAGAGCAGCTGGGGGTACCAGTGCACACCCTCCCCTGGGGTCCAGCTGCTCCACGCCAAGTTGTGAAATAGTCGCAGGGGCCAGAAGACCCACTGAGCCAGGTGGTGGTCAGCCACGGCTGCGAAGCAGGAGGCCACCACATCCTCTACCACCAGTGTCCCGTGCCTCGTTAGTGGGGCATAGGCCCCAAGGGCAATGTGTGTGGAGACAGCTGCCACTCGGGCAGGCTGCAGGCCTGGCACCCCAGCCACCAGCACATATTGACCAGGCTGAACTTGACTAGCAAATGTGGCCCGGAAGTGGGCTGCCGGTTCTGTGTGGTTGTTGGCAGTGAAGAGCAGGTGGGCAGGAGTGAGTGCCAAGCGGCGCGGGGGGTCCTGGGTCTCGATGACCTGGAAGGCCCTCAGCCTATCTGGCTCTCGATCCAAGAAAATGAGCACGTCGCTGAAGGTGGGGTTCCCATCCTCCCCCATGGCCAGCACTCGGTCTCCTGGCCTCACAGCTGACAAAGCCACACGTGCCCCGCTCTCCAGGCGCACCTGGGCTCCAGCAGGGAAGCAGCCACCTGTCTTGGCCGCGGCTGAGTGCTCTGTGGGAAGAAGGGACATGAAGGTATTACTGCTATGGAGCTCAGATTCTTAGTCACAACCCCGCTCCCCAGCCCAGCAGAGCTCCTCTTGCTCCCAGAGAGCCCCCCCCACCATATCTTGGCCCCTGCCCCCCTTTCCCATGCAGCCTTGAACCCACTCCACCCCACAATGTGGTCTTCTGCTCTCCTCCCCAGCCTAATCCTTTTGCCAGTGAGAGGAACATATTGTGGCTCCAGTGAGTGAGAAAGAAAGGGCCCTCCTGAAGGCCAGCTGAAGTCCTCCATCTAGTCTAAATCCTGACAATGCTGTGAAGCAGGGAGGCCAGAGGTCAGCTGAGCCAGGCGGGGGTTGGGGGTTGGGGGTTGAGGGTCAGCCATGACTTGACACCCAGAAAGCTGCAGCCTCGTGGAAAAGGCGAGTCGCTTAGCTCCTCTAGGGTCTGGATGTCCCATGATTTCTCACTCCTTCATCAGACGCTCCCCCAAAATTGCCCTCTCAGACTGACACCCCAAGTTCTGTGCCAGAGCTGGCCCATGGAGCCTATACGGAAGTGAGGGGAAGACCAACTGCGGGGCAAATACAGACTCCGGGGAAGTCTGGCTCAGTGGCAAGGGCGGAAGCACTGTCTTCAGTTCGTGTGCTGGCTCTTCGTGCAGGGACAAGACACAGTGGTATCAGTTGGTGGGATGGAGAACAGTGTTCGGTGGTCAGGAATAATGAATGGAATTGCCACTCTGGGCGCTGGCTCTGGGCCGGTGTTTGCAGGGGAAGAGTGAGTGTGACTTGGAATAGATACCTTTGGCAAGAAAGTGCTGAGGGGAAGAGTAGGGGTGGGGTCACCACTGTAGGCCAGGGGAGGGGGCGGGGAGATGGGGGTGGTATCAGGAATAGGAAAAAGTGGGCCTGGTCTCAACGTTCCAGGTCTACAAGTGTGACTACTGCATGGTGCCAGCATGGAGGGCTGAGGCTGCCACCCCGTGGAGTCAGGCTTGGCAGTCACACAGGAACCATTTGAAGCATCCGTGACTGGGTTCAGTGTGGGTGACAGGGACACTGACAAGATTTGAGGGAGGGGTGAGGCCTCAATGCCTGCCAATTCGGATCAACAAGGCGGCAAATCTGGGAAAATCCACTTTATTGAGTCCACTCTGTTTATTCTGGCCCTCATGGCTTGCTTTGCCTCAAAATGTCCAACATCAGGACCCTGAGGGAGAGGCTAGGGACGCCTGCGCCCCCTAGGAGGGGGAAACGCCCTGCCCTCAAGGGCCTGACCTGCAGTCCATGCTGGGTTCTGAACCTCTGGGCTCCTGGCTCCTGGTCAGGCATGCTGATGTCTGGGCACACCCTGGCCCCACCGCCCGACTCGGTTCTGCACCGCACTGGGTGGGGAGGCTGTCTCTGTCACAGCCTGGCTTCCACATCTGTCCAGCTTGCTCTGTCTTGCACCTCCTGCAGCAGGCTCTGGACTGTGGATCTCAAGGTTGGCACCCAGCAGCGCTGGGACAGGGCCCTATCTCCCTAAGGCTCCTGCTATTGACACTACCAGGCACGGGAGGAGCAGGCTGTCACAAGCAGAAGTGGGGAGCGCCGCCGACGTCCTCTTTCCCGGGGCTCCCGCCTCCAACCCCGGGCGGGTCTCTTCACCTTCTTGGCCCCAGCGGGCCCTGCGCCTCCTGCCCACGCCCTGCGGCCCCGGCCCCGGGCCCAGTCCCCCGGCAGCGGCTCACCGGACTTGACGGAGCAGTGCACGTGGGCCTTGGACTCGTAATACACCCAGTCGAAGCCGGCCTCCACTGCCAAACGTGCCAGCAGTCCATACTTATTGCGGTCGCGGTCCGACGTGGTGATGTCCACTGCGCGGCCCTCATAGTGCAGCGACTCCTCCGAGTGGTGACCGTCTTCGTCCCAGCCCTCGGTCACCCGCAGCTTCACGCCAGGCCATTGGTTCATCACCGAGATGGCCAGGGAGTTCAGGCGGTCCTTGCAGCGCTGCGAGAGGAAAGAAAGCGCAGCGTTAGGGAGAAGAACTGGCGCACATGCAGGTGGAGCCGCAGCCTCGCCCTGGGCTTTCCCACCGCACCCACTGGAGTTGGGAAACTGGGGAGGGTGCTCTGTCCCTCTCTCGGGAACAGAGAGCCCTAACGTGCTTCCTTCCACTCTAGTATCCGGCTGCCCCAGGGACCGGAACCGCACGGTGGCGCCACAAATCTGGAGGGCGCGTCAAGTCGCCTACCCTTGGGTCTCCCTTTTCTGATAAGTGGCCCCTTCCTCCCGTGCTCGCTCTTCCCCGCTCAGGGTACTGATTATTCCACAGACCAGGCTTCACCCTTCCAGTGCCCAGTCCCTATGGCTCACCGAGGCACCGGAGATCAGGAATTGACTGCCCGCTACCTGGAGGGTGGGGGGTGGTAACGAGCCGACTGCCTGCGGCTGGCCTGCTAGGCATGCAAGGCCGATGGTGCCCAGTAGGTGTCACCGTAGCCTCAGGGCTGAGACCCGGGAATACCGGCCCTGGAGGCACAGCAGGTGCGGAGCCCAGCAGCGTTGGGGGGTGTGTTGGAAGGGAATCACTGGCCTGCCTGGATTCCTCGGGCGCCACAAAGCAATCCTGCTGGGACTCTCTTACGATCCAAAACCCGCCCGCAGCCCTTCCCGGGATTCGGCAGCCCTGGAACCAGAAGTCGGTGGAAAGGCCAGTGCCGGGCCTGGCTCAAAGGAGGGCGGCGCGGAGCGTGTTCCACTACAAGGGTCGCGGTTGGTTTGATAATCCCAGGCAACGTTCTCCCTTAGTCCAGAGCCCTCCGAACCTCTGCACCACCCCTGAGAAGGGACACGAGAAACCGAGCCTCTGATCTCAGGGAGCTGGCTCCACGCTCTGCCTCACGTGGGGTGGGAATAGAGATGCGTCCCAGGGGAAGAACGGGAGAGATCACCTGTCTGTGCTGACTGACTTCCCGGGTGCCTGCAGCCCAAGGGACCCTGCAGTTAACTGAGAGGAGGGGCTGGCGGGAGAAGGGGCCCATCCACAGTCCTTGACTCTGAAGTGCGAGGTGCTGCCAGGTGTGCGCAGCCCATGTCTCAACCTACCCCCAGCCCGCACAGCCCGGCCCCACAGACCCTTGGACTCGGTCTCCCAGGAGCCAACAGCGTCTACAACCCAAGGCCCGGCTGTCCTCCCCGGCGAGCAGCCTAGCTGGGGCGCTCACTGCCCCGGGAGGGAGCTCCACGTATCTTGCCGCCAGGCTTCTAGCCCCCCACCTATGTCCGCCCATGGGCCCCTGCTCCCAGCCCCTCTTTCCCCCGCTACCCCTCCTCCTCGGGTCCAGAGCTTGGGCGCGCGCTGTCAATGATTGCCCAGCCCGTGGCCCGGATCCTTATCTGCATTCCTCGGCGCCCGGCCCGGCCCGGCCACCAGCCAACCTTCGCCCCGACACTGGCCGGCCAGCCCCGGCGCCAAGGCGCATGCCGAGGGCCGTGGTCTAGCTGCTTTTCCTAAAGCACCTAGGACGCGAGCTTCCTGCCTGCGGGGGAAGCCCCGGGAGACTGCCTAGGTCTCTTCCCTCCGACCCGGTTGCAGAGAAGAAAGTTTCCCCCTGGCCCACGACCACCTCCCACTCTCGCCGAAGTTGGGCTGAGCGCAGGTCCTGTTCCGAGCACGCAAGAGACTAACTTTAGCTCTGCTCCCTGCGTCCTTGGCATCCCAAGCCCCTCTCTTCCAAGCCTCTCAGTTCCGTCACCAAGCCCAGGGATCCCCCAAATTCGGTCCCAGAGCCGGAAGGCTCCAGCTCCCCACCCTTCAACTGCAGCTGCGCCGCTCAGCTTTCTGGACAGACACGTGGGCTCACCCGGCAAGTTCCCTTCCCCACCTCCGCCTTCCACGCTGCTCCTTAACCCCAGACCTCGCCGAAACGCTGCTTCAGGAGAGGGCAGAGCGGCGAACCAAGAGCGAGCGTGGAGGAAAGGTCATGGGGCCCTCCGCGCCCGGAGCTTCTTCGCCTCGGGGTGCCGAATGGCTTCGAAATGAAAGGGGCGCAGCTGTGCACCTGGTTAGGCCTGGAGGGACCGCGTGGGTACCGAAGGAGCAGGAGGCAGCCGGGTCGAGGTACCTCCGGGTGCCGCGTCTGACCCGAGCTGCCAGCGCTCTGGGGCAGAGGGACGGCCGCCAGCCGGCTGGGCTGCGGCGCTCGGCAGTGAGGAGCTCTTCTCACAGCCTCCGGCGGTATCCGGGATGCCGACGCTCCCGTCGGGACCCCTGGCCGGCCCATCTTGGGCAGGAGGCAGCCGGGCTTGGAGAGAGGGGCAGGTGCCAGGGGGCGTGCCAGCCAGTCGGTAAAAGGTGCCAGGGGGGCGGGTAGGACCGGGCAGGTGGCAGTGCTTCGGCGGCGGCGCCCTGCGAGGGCGGGTCGCGCTCACCTGGGTCATGAGACGGTCGGCGCCCGTGTTCTCCTCGTCCTTGAAGATGATGTCGGGGTTGTAGTTGGGAGTGAGCTCCTTGAAGCGCTCCGAACTGCGCGCGATCTTGCCTTCATAGCGCCCGCTGGCGCCCAGGGTCTTCTCCGGCACGTTGGGACTGAACTGCTTATAGGCGAGCGGCACGAGCTTGCGCGGCGGGCGCCGGCGGCTGCCCACCACCCGGCCCGGC